TTTTCTATTTGGTAAAAAAACACAAAGATTCAATAGAATTTCTTAATATCGGACATCTAAACTTTTTATTTCATTTAGTTTTGTATACTTTTTATTGTGAGTGTCACGAGAATAACCTCCGAAACTCGATTTCTTATGGCGTGAGTTCATTCAAAAAAATTTAAGTTTTAATCCATCCTAACATCATTTTCTGACTCCACCCCTATTTTAAGCACGTCAAATGTGTATCTTCCCCAAAAAAATTTATTACCTGAAATCTTGTTTCTTGACGTATAAAATCAACAATCATTTTCATACTCTAGTAATTCGATAGTGATTATGTCATTTTATTTGTTAGGATATCTCCAAGAGATTCTCTAAATACAAAATATTCTTTATTTTAGAGAGTTAATACTTAAAAATAATTTTCAAGAGAGACTCCATTTTTAGTTTCAACATTTAAAATAGAGAGTGAATTTGACTCTTCAAAGTTAGAGAGTTAAACTAACTCTTTATTCTTAATGTAAAATAATGGTATTTAATAAGTCATAGATTTCAATACTTTTCTTTTTAAATTATTCAAACCATATTTAAATTAGTTGGCCATTGTTATATGAAATTATTTTAAATAATACGAGGAGAACTCAATAAATATTTATTAAGAAAAGCAAAATGAAGAGTCAAAATAGTGAGCATTGTTGAAGGTATAAAAAATTGACTTTTTAAATTTAATGATTCTTTTAATAATGCATAAGATACACTTTATAAGTAAAGAATTTCTTGGAGATACTTTTACAATTATTGAGAAAAACAAAATGAAAAGCAAAAATAGAGAGCGCTGTTGGGATCCATAAAAATGTTGATTTTTTAAATTTATAGATACACTTAATAATGCATAAGATGCTCGGTAAATAAAGTGTCTCTTAGAGCATTTTCAAAAAATTCTCTAAATATAAAATAGTTTTTATTTTAAAAAGTCATTGCTTAAAATTGAGATATAAGAAACTCTCTATTTTAAGTTTTTAAAGTAGAAAGTGTGTTTAGCTCTCCAAATTTAGAGAGTCAAACTCTCTCTATTTTTAATGTGCAATGATTGTATTTAATAAATCACATATTTCAATATTCTATTTCTTAAACTATTCAAACTGAGTGATCAATTGACATACTCCATCCGTTCCAATTATATAGGCTGAGTTTTCTTTTTATCTTGTCCCAAATATATATGCAAGTTTCCTAATGTAGAATATTTTGTTGTGTTCATTTACCAATATACTCTTATTAAATTTTTCCCACTTAATATGTCAACTTCTTGAATTCATCCAAATACACACATTTCCCACNTTGTTCCTTTACCAATATACACTTATTAAATTTTCCCCACTTAATATACCAACTTCTTAAAATCATCCAAATACACATATTTCTCTCTTCTTGAAAACATGGAACAATTCTCATTTCTTCTTCTTCAAATTCTTTATTAGTTCCAACAATATTTTAGTTTTACTATTAAAAATTAAATAGGGGTAAATTAGGAAAGATTTTGACAAATATTAATTTTCCAATAACATTAAAGAATATTTCTTAATCCGTGGGAAAAACGAAATAGGACTATATAATTGGGACAGAGGGAGTATAAAAATTATGTTAAATAAAATATGAAGAGAAATTAATAAATTTTTTTGAGAAAAGCAAATTGAAGAACCAAAATAGAGAATTTATTGGAGTAAATAAAAATCTTAACTTTCTAAAGTTAAAGATACTCTTAATGATGGATGTTTGGTACATAGAGTCTAAAATTTTAAAACGTGTAGATGCTTCTCACATCTATTATATTCTATTTAATAGACAAACCTTTATCTCTTTGCTTTGTTTGATTATTTTTTACTTTTTATTTTAAATTTTGATCACTGTTCTAAGAAGGGCGTCTAGACACCGTCAAGGCTCGAAACTCGGACACACCACTTCATTTTGCGCTAGGGATGGACATAGACATTTTGAGTTTTAGGGTATAATCAAACTTGAAAAAAAGTTGTGAGGAATTTTACATTTGAAAATTTATATCGAGAGAAAATATACTCCATGTAATTTTATGTCCGAAAATTTATATGGAGTATGATTTTTTTGGATGTAAAATTTTGAGAATTTACATGTAAAATTTTATAATAAAATAATGTAAATTATATTGAGAAATTTGTATAGTAAAAATAATAATAATTGAATTTTTTTAAAGAAAAGACGAGTTAGACCCCTATTTTAAGAAACACGTTTGACGCATCTTTAACTATTTTTAATATCTGTTTGGACCATTCGATATGCCATGATGTAGTACTAGAAATGAGTTTCGAGATGACATATGTGATTTGTGGATTCGGCTAGCGTATGATCGTCGAAAATTTTTTAAAGTTAGCATGTTATTAAAATAATTGAAATACTAGTTTCGAATAGCCTACTTTGACAAGTCATAACATCTGCTACGATTGGCCATTTCGCATGCTATTAAGGACGTAGAAAAATAGGCCGTGATTATTTGGAAATGACATTAAGAATGCAATAATTCAACTTCGTTTGACATCCCATAATGACTTCGAAAATTGAGACAAAAACATAGAAAAAAATGGCCCCAAAGTTGGGGGGTCACCCACACCTGTGTCCGCCATGCTTTGTGTCTAGATTTTTTTTTTCCCTTCAATTCTAGGTGCGCTTTATTAGTTTTTATAATTTTTTCAAAAGTCTTTTATTTGACTTTAGCTTATTAACTTTTTAAATTATATAAAAAAATTCATTTGCCTTTAATTTCAAGCTTTTTAAAAAATTTATCTGTAAAAAAGTTTAAAATGACTTTATCTAAATAGTTAAATAAGATTTAAATTATGATGTTATCTACATCATGTAATTATGATCCTGAGATCCGCTATTTTGTTGCAAACTTTAAAAGCATGTGTGAAGTTCCTATTAATATATTAAGTATGACTTGTTTAATTGAAAATTGAAACTATGAAAAATATTTTAATTTTTGCATTTTGAAAATCTGAAAATTGTATAATTAACTAATGGTAGGAATTATTAAGTAAATATAGTATTTTATAATTTTAGTTGTATGATATGTATTATTTTAATTAATAGATGATTTTCAAAATGATTAAAAATTTAATATAATATTAAAAATAATACAACATTTTTTTACGCCTAAGCTCGCTTAATCTCGTAAAGTTTGAAACTCCGTCTCCACACCTAGCCACGTTTTACTCTTTTTAGAACACGGGGTTTTGATCAATATGACGCTTTCATGTATGGCAGATGTATCTACTGTACTCAGGGGCGGACGCAGAAGTTTAAAGTTAGGGGGCACAATCGAACTTGCAAAAAAGTTGGGAAAAATTTTACAATTGAAAATTTAAGTCCAAAAAATCATTCCCCATGTAAATTTGCATCCGAAAATTTACATAGGATATTACTTTTTCGGATGTAAAATTTCGAAATTTTTTGATGTCATATTTCATATAAAATTTCCTAATAAAATGATGAAAATTACATTAAGAAATTTATATCGCAAAATTAATAAATGTTATTGAAATAATTGAATTTTTTAAAAAGAAAATCCGAGTTATACACATTTTTTTAAGAGTCATGTTTAACGCATGTTTAACTATTTTTGATATTTGTTTGGACTATTCGATATGTTTATAATGTAGTTCTCGAAATAAGTTTTGAGATGACATAAACAATTTGTAGATTTGATTAGCGTACGATCGTTGGAGAATTTTTAAAGTTAGCATGTTATCGAAATTTTCGAAATACTAATTTTGGATGACCTGCTTTGACAAGTCGTAACATTTGCTAAGATTGATCATTTCGTACGCCATTAATGACTTAGAAAACTAGACTGTGAGCACTTCGAAATGGTATTAAGAATACAATATTTCGATTTCATTTCACTTTCCATAATGACTTAAAAAATTGAAACAAAAACATAGAAAATTTAATGGTGGAAAAAAAAAAGGGACCAAAGTTGGAGGGTCACGTGATCCCCCAAGCCACCCCTGCTTCCCATGATTGTACTTTTAGGGAAGTGACGTGGTTCTTCCAAGAACATCGCACGCTCACTTCTGTATACATGTTGCTTCCTGTGGCTGAAAGTTGTGTACTTTTTTTTTCTCAAAAACAAGGTTGTATGAGTTACAACTTTGATCTCAATTTTAACTCTCTTCTATAATGAGAAGAAGAAACGGTTTTCGTGATTGGGCAAAAATTTGGATTTTTTTGCTTGGTTTAATGTTTTTTATTTTTTCTGTTGGAGGTCTGGATTGCTTTCTGTCATTAGCGATTAGCAAGAGACGGGGAGTTTGAGGTGAGTCGATGTTTTGCCTTGCAGCAACTGGCAATATCTGAGATGTCTTTGGCCAGTGTAGCAACTTCTTGGCAAATTGGATGATTCTAATATAAGAGAGGAGTGCAAAATTCGGTAGGCTGGTTTAGTATAAGAGGAAATTGATGAAAAATGTTGTTCAAAATTAATAAACACGCGAGTGGAATAGAAATGGAATTGGAAGCCAAAACTTTGTTCCATGTGACCGTATACATTCAGCCTATGCGGTCGCATGATGGTATACAGGGTCTTAAGGCCCTGCTATGGAAATAACCATGCGGTCGCATGGGATTGGCCTATGCGACCGCATGGGGTTAAAAACTAGCCGTTAGACAGTTTTTTAGTTTGAAACTTGGTGGCTTTTGGAGTGTATTTTGGTGCCTTTTTCAATCGTTTTGGCACCAATTCTTGGGGTATTGATGGTAACCTATATATAGG